AATATACTTACAGTAATATACTTGCAATAATATATCAAGGTTGAAAAGGCAGAAACGGTGATAACTATTAAAAAAAATTTTTTTTCTTTTTTTTTTTTTTTTTACACAAACATGCAAAACTTGATACGCGCAAGTTTTGCCTTTTTACGTTCAATAATTCTTTTATTTTGCGGTCCTATTATAATACTTGATAGTATTATACTTAAAGGAACAATTACAAAAAATATTGATTATTTAATAGAGTCTCTAATAGAGTCTCTAATAGTAATAGTATCTCTGGATTTTACAAATACCAAAACCAGCAATAAAAATGTACCGGAACATGTTCTCTACAGCTCTTTACAATCGAATAATATTAACAACAGATTTGGCTCCATTGGAACAAATCCACGTCATGGAAAAAAGAGAAGACAACAACTTCACAATACTGTACCTTCTTCTTCTTCTACTTCTTCAAGTAATGACGTATCAATTGCTAAAAATATGAAATTCTCTGAAGAACAAAAACGTAAATTAATTGGTAAACTTGCTGCAATCTCAAGAGGAAAAGATTTCACGTCTCAGTCTCATCATGATAATACTGATACCACTACTACTATACCTACTATACCTATACGTGTGAGATTACGTACCATTAATTCTGTGGTGATAATTAATCCTAAATCTATTTCTATTAAAACCTCCATTCTTCACATGCCTCCCGAAATAATGTTGTGCATATTTGATTTCTTACCTTCAAGAAAAGATTTTTACTCTTGCCTTTTTGTTTGTAAACCTTGGTATATCATGGTTACTCCATTTCTTTATAAATCACCACAAATTTATCATCGTTTTTCTTCAATGGATATAGTAGTAGCTTTTATTGATTCTACCACAACTCATTTATCACCTTCAAAACTTAAATACGCACTAAGTTCAAAGACTAGACTTCCATTAAATTTTCCTATTGAAAAATATGGATCATTTATTAAAATATTAGATTTATCCATTGGATCTGATTATGTTACCGATTCAACTATTCAAGCTATAGCTTATTCTTGTCATAATTTACGATTAATTAATTTGAATAATTGTATTCATATATCAGATAATTCATTGGAATCACTTTCAAAACATCAATGTTCTTCAACTTTGGTATCTATTAATTTATGTGGATGTCGTAAGATTACAGATAAAGGAATCAAAATGTTA